ACATTTTTTATTAATGACATAATCATCAGTTTAAAATAAAATTCAAAATTAATCTTAATTAGCAGAAAATGAAAAAGACAAAATCAGAATGCTGCATAATCTTATTGTTAGTTACACAAATTAAACATTGAGGCATAATAAATTTAATATTGTATAGTTACCTGTTTGTTTCACATTGACTATAACGCAATAATTTTCATCAACCACCGTAAATACATTTTTAATATTCATAATTGTACTATATGGCGGTGATAGCAAAAAACGTACGTCAAAAGAATTGCCAACTTTTCTTTGTATAATCGAAAATGTTACAAATGCGGGAAGTTGTTCTATGTCTTCGTCGATATATTGAGAACTGAGATATGAGAATGATATCGTATGATTTGTAGCGTTTAATGTCACATGCAGTACAGGATAATAATTTTTTTTATCCAAATATCTATATATTGTCTTACAGTAAAAGATATTTGATAATAAATTTTAGTATGATTTAAATAAGTTTGCATTATGTGCCATAAATCATCGGTCTTTACCGCATTTGACTAATTATATCTGTAAAATAGAAATTTCTTTAAGACCATACACCATTCAAATTTTTACTTTTAAACACAAAATTATAATTTAGTGTATTAAAATATTAATTTACATGTTGATACAAGTAAATCAACAGTAATATTTATATATATATATATTTTTTCATTTGGAAAGTTTTTCTTAATTAGCCTTATATTTAGGTTTGGATTAAATTTGCTCTCAATAAAATTGCAGACAAAGATCACAATTTATCGAAATATCTTATTTGTTTATATTTACAGTTATGTTTTTGTAATTTCAAATTATATTAATAAACTCCGAATGTAACTTATATACAATATAATATTTCTTATTTATCTACAGTTTTTAATATTGGTTTCCAAAATAATTAACATTAATTCGTTACAACCTTAAAAATCAATTGTATTATTTACATTAATAAATATAATACTTTAATTTAAAAAATCAACTATATATTGCTTGAAATTTTAAACGAAGATAATTTGACAAGTTTAAAAAAGTTTGATTTAATATTTAAAAACAAGTTTTAGAAATGTACAACATGTTATTTGTTATTTTGTAGTTAACAGATGGTTCGACAACTACGAAATGGTCTTATATTTTATACCATGCTCTATCATAATAAAATTGAAGAATGTTATTTTTGTTCAATATTTAATTTTGTTACGTAATTATTATGTCGTGAAATATTACTCACCTATCAGCATACGCGCGGATACTATACCACATGTCTTCTTTTAGGATATGTTGCAATATATACCATAAAACGGGTGCTGTATCAATTAAAATTATGGAGTATTTATTATATACTTTAAAATGTTTTTTAATCGTAATAATAATAGGTTTATAAAAAGTTGGTAAACAAATAAATTCTATTTTAATCGATTCGTAGTTATATTTCTCCATACTTCTTTTTATTTATAATTTTATGTATAAATATTATTAATAACTTTAAATTATATTAATCAAGCATTTTTCTTTAAATATATTAATTTAAACTTACGTTTAATGTAATTAAGAAAAATCTTATTCATTTTAAAATCTAAGCCATTATTGTTGTGCAATGTAGAATTATAATTATTAGAAGGAATATCAAAGCGAAAAGATTCCTGTAGTACTTGGA